AAGGTATCTCAATCTGGAACAGGCGATCATATTCCAAAGAAAAGGTTCCTCAGAATTTGGCTCCAATGGGGTGGGAACAAAATCATTAATGACTATTTGTCTACTTTCATTTATTTATTTATTTTTTATTTGTAAAACAGTACCTTTTTGCATTTATATATTTGCAATTGTAATATATAACACACTTTCCACATTGATCTAGTACAAAAAATGTTACAAATAAAATTTCATATAAATTTTGCTAACTATATTATTTTTATTATTTGAACTTGAATCCTTTTTTGATTTTCTTAAATTTGTTGAGTTGGAAAGCGTATTCAATGTGATTAGTCGACTGCTAGATTAGATTGCTGTTAACACGTACCGGAAATAGTTTAGATTCCATGGATGATTTAGAAAGGAGGAATCAGCCGACATGGGCCACCTGGTTTTCTTTTCTTTTTTTTTTTTCTTAATGATAACTATCTATAGTTTTGACAACATTATTCGAAATGCTACAAGTGTCCATTCATGCTCTTTGTCCTTGAACCCGAAAGAAACATTGAATATTTACAAAGACAGGACGTAACATTACCACTTACACTTGGCTTAACCATCGATCGGCCAGTCCCAATCTCGATTCTCAGAAGGATGATTTTCTGTTTAGCCACAGTAACAATATTTAAGTAATTATAAAAAAAAGGAAGAAAATTCAATCAAATTTGGAAAACCAGGTTTACTTGAGGGGTTTAAGGCATGTTTGATTGGATTGTGAGAGTACAATGACAGACTAATTTGGTTCAGTACCCCCCCCCCCCCCCACAATACATGACTTTACAATCAAATATTTTTGAATTTGCATCTTATATATGTCCTTTCCCACTCAACAGCTTATATGTTTTAATTGTGTTTAATAACCATATAGCTGAACTTTAAAAAGGGTCAATCAGTCCAGCCTCAGGATATTTGTTTTAAAGCCATAATTCATAGCATAAATCGATCAGCAAGCTTTATCCATCCGTTATTATTTTAATGTAATGCTTGGTACAAGTATGATTTGCCGACCATCTAACCAGCCCGTTTCATTACTGAAACATATTGAACAATTGTTAAAACATTCCTAAAGAAAAACATGAAACAAATTAACTTCCTCTGCCCGGCATTCCATCTTTAGGCTATAATAATATTCCATCCCAGAATTTCATTGCCGGATCATCGACCATTACTTTCGACCCAATTACTCGAGTTTTCGTATCATTTTCACAATTGATTCTCAGTGGCCAAATTCGCCCCCTTTAATTCTGCCTTTCTTTCTTTGCTTGTGTGGGAAGCTACAGATTAAAGAAACTAGTGGCCGATACACTAGACATCATTTTATTTACCATTGCATATGATTAAGCAACCGTTTTATTTAGCATTTGACATGCATGTTCCCTACTTGACAAAACGTTCTATACATATACGTTATTAATTTTTTTATTCCAAAGTCACAAAAACACCGTTCAGAACATAGTTAAACTAGAGTTTTAATTTTGAAATCATTGATGGGCGGTGGTGAGTAAGACCAGTTACTTTCCTGATTAGACGTTCCTAAAACCATGCTATTAATGCACTAACCACCATTACTGTCTACAGCCTTTCAGTGATGGTAAAACGAGAGACGCAAAGTATTTAAGAAAAATGGGTGACAACTACTTCTAAATGAACCGTTATTTTACTAAATTTGCCCAAACATTAGTTTAAGTTAAATGATATTGAATATAAATTTATGTAACTCACTCAAAAGTTAAAATTGGTCCAATTTGTTTTACAAGTGGAAAGAAGATAGCAAAAATTTATATATGAATCCCTAGCCTTTAAAGGGGGATTAGACAAAGCACTAGGCCTAATGGCTAAGTTTTCTACACATTTGAAGAAATCTAAAGAGAAGAATTCGTGGAGAAATAACAATTGTTAAACTAAACGTAAGTTTCTAAATAACCAAATAAGGTTACCTCTATAATTTATGGATTTAATTTCATTTTCCTAAATATAGAATTTAGTGAATGGCTTCAACAATAACATGCATTAAAAAACCATTACTTATAGTTTTCTTTTCATACCAACATACTCCCATTTGACTGTCAAACTGGACTTTGGTGAAGGGTAGGACCCAACAGTACCTAAAATTTATTTGAATCATCTATTTACAAGCAAAAACTGCATTCAAGTTTTACAGTTCCAATAACCAGTTGACATTTTGTTTTCTAATCTTTAGTGCGTAGCAGAAGAAAGAAGACCACAAAAAAGGTAGCCCATTTTATTTCCTGCTGTGTAAAAACGCAAGCAAAAAAGATAGGAAAATAAATTTCTTTACTCCCATTGGGTTCCTCCAGGAAAAGACGGGACTTTTTTTTTCTCTAGATTTCGATTTCCCAGGCTCTTCATTGATGAATAGTAAATTAGTGATACAACATTACAGCTCTAGATATATTAAAAAGAACATGATCGTATGTCCGAAGGAAACACATGCTTAGACTTTGGATAACACTAATCGAGTAACAGTAGTAACAAAATTAGGAAGGGGAAATAGAATGCTTTAAAACTAAGGCCTAACCAGTTCAATTTACATCATTTGACCAGAAAAAATTGAATTTCGGGGACTACGATATGAAATCCTTCCATACGAGCAAGTAAATGTAAAGCTACTAGTAGAACACATGATCAGCTGGTGACATGTATCAAACGGAAGACATAAGACAGAAACAAAAGTTGGTGGAAAAGCAAAAGTTAGGAATGCGTGCTAGAGCCTTGACATTACAAAAAAAAAAAGGCAAAGGAATATACTTACACAGTCGTTTCTTATTCTTGCCCTTGATTTTTCTGGGGTGAGGGGTTGATTTTTTCAAGAATGTTTGGAACCTACTATGTCCCCAAGTAGGAAGAAGTGAGGCTGTCCGAGCATGACCTAGCTAAGGTTAGCAATACAGCATTAGCCTTGTAGACTTCACTCACTAACCGAAGATAGATCATGCTGGCAGCTTCACTTTTTCCCTTGTAGACTTCTCGTTTAGGATTAGAATAAGAGAAATGTTCAACTCAACTGCATTTTATAAATATAAGAACGAAGAATGTATATGTAGAAACTTGCTGGGATATTCTTCCATCTTCATGATGATATGGATTTAGAATAAAATTCAAAACACCAGAAGAAATGAAGTTTACATGTACTAGACTGCTAGATGAGATTGGAAGGAAGTATCTCCAAAATTTTAAAGAATTAGGCAAACTCTGTCTAGTCATGTGTACGCCAAGAAATTTTATGGAGTAAAACGATTGACTAAAGAGCAAGTGTATAGGTCAAATTTCGAAAGTTTTAAGAGAAGGGGTGATCCATATGGCTGAGTAGTAGAACTGGACATTAAAACATGGGGGAAAGGGACAAATAGTTTTTAACATAAGAGAAAGACCGCTTGACCAGGTAGGGCTTATGAGATAGTAAGACATGAAAAGAGAGAAGCACAATAAGGAGAAATATAACAAAGACAAAGCTATGAAGAGTAATTTTCTTTAAACAAAAATAGAAGAAAACAAACCCTTTTTTTAGCATTGAAAACCAAAGCTTATTTGGAGGAGAGGCTGAAGAAGTCCATGCAGTAGATAGAAAAGAAAGATATAGAAAGAGAAGAACCGACCCTTGCCATTCTACCTAAGAAAGAAAAGAGGTTTCCAGAAGAAGAGGGGAGAATGGAGGTCAGAGCGTGAGAAGCAAAGCCGGGAATTATTTAGAATAAGAGGGGTAATGTTAATAAAAAGAGAGAGGAAGGTAGCTGGGGTAGAAGAGAGATTCATGAAGTCATAACCCACCTGGCAGAACAGTGAAGTAAAAGAAAATCATGAGGACAGCTAAGAGAGAGAAGAGAGAAAAGCAAACAAAGGCTATGGACATAGATGTATAGTAGACGTAACAGGTGGTAGAAAATAGGGCGGCATGGCAGGTGGGGGCTTCTGAGCTCTTCTCTGGATACCCACACTGTAGTAAGCCTAGACTGGTATAGTATAGGAGCATAGGGTTCGTACGTCGTTTCCACTTCGTAAATTGACAGTTCCTCATCACTCATCAGGGGCAGAAGGGGCACAGCATTGCAGCTATTGGGATCATTTCAAAAAAAAAAAAAATTAAAATAACGCTACTAGTAACTCATTTTCTTTTAGAATTTCAATGCGTTTGGACTACTTGGGACCAAACAAGTTCACTTGTGTCTTTTTCTCACCTCTAAATTTTTTTTTTCTTAACCTTTGTTCAAAGTTCAGTTGTCAATTCAGGTTTGCTGGTGATTTTAATGCTTACTTCCCGTCCATCCAGACAAAAAACGATAATCAAAACCCCAACTATGTTTTACTTAATGCTCGTCTATAAGGAGAGTTTAGATGTAAGCTTTAGGGCAAGGAAACAAACGAAAAGACGGTGATGGCTAGCATGAGGTCATGCAAGCGTGAGGTCCAATGAGGTCTTGAATTTTGGACCGTTCGATCATCGTTTTTGTTTCCTAGCCGTTAGATCAATTTTAGAAGCACGCGTGATAAAAAATATGAGTGACCGGCTACCTAATGGATCTAAGACATAGGAAACCTGCGTGAGAGAAAAAAAATTTTTTTTAATGTAATGTTCGTCTATAAATTTTGTAGACGCTTAGCAAATAATATAACGCCACATTATTAATGAAAAAAAAATTAAAAAATTATTAAAATTAAATATACAAAAATTTTATAAATTTTAAAAATAAATACAGGAAAATTTTATATTTTTCATTAATAATATAACATTATATAATTCATTGATAATATATTAATAATATATTAAATATAAATGATAAAAAAATAATTTAATTTTGTTAATTTATCAAAATTTTTTATATTTTGTTTTAATTTTAAGTATCATTTATCAATCATTCAATCTCACTTTCATCTAATTTCTTTACCTCCTAAAGGAAAAAAAAAAAGGAAGAAAAATGTTTTACCGCCTAATCGTAAGTGCGATATTTCTTTACAACTCTGAAGCCTCTGAATTGGAATGGATGCGACCTCAAAACCCCAAGGCTAGTCATGCCGACACAGGAGTAACACAATACAACTTCATATATAATATGAAGCCTTGCCTCTGCTCTCCAATTTGCTTTGAACATGTTTGCTATGGTCAAACCACCCTTCATACTCATTGAATTTTTATTTCTAAGCACACCTTAGAAAATAAAGCAACCCATTGTTCTCTTAATATTAATGCAAAAGGCTGCTATATGTTCCCTGATTCACTCGGTATTTCTCACATGTGCTTCTAAAATTGATCAAATCGAACGGTCAAAAATTTAGACCTCATTGGACCGCACACTTGCAGGACCCATGCTCTAGGTAGTGCCTGAAATGATACAGTGGCTGCGTAATCACCAAGAAGTTTGAGCTAAAGGGTGGCTAAGGAAATCATGTGTGAGAGAGAGAGAGAGAGAGAGAGAGAAAGAGGATGACAGAATCACGGAACATTAAAGTATGAAGATGCGAAGATCAGAGTGGAGTGATTAGTGAAGGTGAAGTTTGGTACGTGTTAACAATGCAATGGTTGGCTTCTTGGCTTTTGCGTCTTTTTCCTGTGAGTTTTCATTGCATGCTCAATCTTTTGGACTATTCAGTATTCATTTTCTTCTTTATTCAGTATTCAAGGCTCCTCAGTCCTACTACTTCTACCACCCTGTTCAATTCTAACTATTGTACTGCTCAGTTTTCTATGTTTCTCGTTCCATGTGGACTATCCAGTTTTCTAGGGTTCCCCTTCTCCTGATGCTTCGCCAAGGTTGCAGATTTTTGTTTTTGTTTTTATTTTTTTCTCCATGCCCTGAAATTTTATGAGCACATGGGTCTAGGAGATTCAGTTCGTGGAGCTGGCGTGGCCCAGCTTGTTGCTTGCCTGGATATAGTAACTAACTAACACAGTACTTCCGCTCTCCATTCTTAATTCTAACTCCATGTAAATGCCTTATTAATAAAAAAAAAATGCCGTACAAATAATTGATTTTACCCCTTATTTTTCATTCTAAAAACTCATGCTCAGATCACCAGGATAAGCGACATTTGTGTTTAAGACTAAAAAAATGCAAGTTCCAAAGAATTCCTTAATCTTAATGATTGTTTATTAAAGTATCTATGCTTTAGAGACTTGACATACTTATAGAGCTCAAGTTTTATAGCAGAAAAATATTTTTAGGATTATAATTTTGAAACTGTTGATGAATAGATAAATCCCTGCAAGTAAATTTATGTTCTTACAAGCACATCCATTTAACCAAACTGACTATATCTACCGCCTATAAGCCTTTAGCCCAAGTAGTAGCCTGGATAGAATTTTAAATGAAGATATTATTATTATTATTATTATCTTAATTCTATTTTCATGTACCAAAGCCAAAAAGAAACCCAATCAATCTACTCAAGCGATTTAAACAAGGGCAATCATCAATATCTAAGTAGTGAAAGCGCAAGAAACCCAATTAAGGAGCAGCTTTGTTTTGCCAGCTAGTGTAACTTTTGATTACCTTTATGTAGCCATTTGCATATAAATGCAGCAGCTAGCCATGCTGCCCATGCATCTGTATCTGACTCTCTGAAGAAGGAAGAATTGCTCTGGTCCTATCAACTGTGAATTCCATAGGGTGTCTTTCACCATTATCCTTTGGTACATAAAGTGCTTGATGGAGATAGAACCGGCAAATCTTTTGTGTATTCTTGGTATGATAATACACTACAATACTCATTGCAACAGCAAAAAAGAGGTTAGTTTCAGCTCAATATGAAACATAGCCAAAGTTTCAGGATGTTCGATTTTTTCGAAGAAAGAGTTTTCCCTCATAAGAAACTTCGTACAAGACAAAACGGGCACCAAGAAATCAAATTGATTTTCGAGGGCTTTACACGCAGAATTGACACCCAAAATAAAATGTATTAACTTTATCATATAATCAGAGGCCCTCACCTTCAAAACAACTCAGCCTCTTCATTACAATGATCACGTTCATGATCTATCATCAATCATCATTTTCCATTTAACACAAGTGGCCACTTGCCTCAGAGCAGAACACAGGAGATTGATTGGATGCTGACCAGAAACTATGGCAAGCAGATTCACTGCATTTTCATAGGGTAAATGATGTTAAGGTTTTTATTAATACTCTAGGGGAACAGGAGTCAAAAAATTATCTACAATCTTTTATTAGTCCATAGTTTCCAATCGAGTTAAAATCATAATTTACAACAATTATGAATCCGCCGTGGCATGAACAAAAATGGGAACCAATGTGCTTACAGTCATCCCTTTTTAGGCACTTCTTGTATCAGGGCACACTCAATTTCCATCAGAATCGGGGCTCTATCAATGCCTCCTTACAATTGAATGATTAATTGGCAATCCTTTTAGCAGCTTTGGCATCTCAGGCTTAAACTGGGCCACTGGGACGATGAGATTCATGAGAATAATTCTGTTCTTAGCAGACTTGAACCAGAAGGGGTGATAAAAAGAACCATGGCATGATCATTTGAGAGTGATTCCAATGGCTACAGCATGAATGAAGATGAAATGTCTATGACTTAAATCATTTGATATAACATTTACCAGAAATCCCCACAAGAACAAACCCCACCCTCAAAATGGTGAAATCTATTGGCATCCCTCACAACAAGTTCCCGTTCAAAGAGTTTTGAAACTAGCTTACAAAAAGTATGGCAATCACCACAGACACGGAGATTCTTTGTAATCCGAATGGGAGTTCCCTCAGCAGTCTTAAGCAGACCATATGCAATCGCCAACCTTTCACTGTGCCCATACAGCATCTTAACTTTCTCATTTTCCTCAACATTATGGGGAACAAACTTCGTTTGAGCCACATAACCTCCTTCCTTCTCCAGTTTTTCCGTGATTTTATCCAATTTTTTGCTTATCTCAAGACATTCTGGATGAGACTTGTCGCTTGCCATGAAAGTATGAATCCTGCTCCCCACCTCAATCCAACTACATCCAGGATTTTTCTTCAGACCTCTCTCCTTCATTCTCATTCTAATTTCTTCAGCATCTTTACATCTTCCTCTTGCTGCAAAGACATTAGAAATGAGCACATAATGTCCAGGGTTCTTAGGATCTAACTCCAAAAGTTTCTGGGCAGCAATTTCTCCTAGTTCTTGGTTTGAGTGAACTTGGCAAGCCCGAAGGAGTGCACACCAAATTTCAGCGGTAGGTTGCATCTGCATGCTTTTCACAAATTCAAATGCCTCTTCCAAGCAATTTGCCCGACCAAGGAGATCAACCAGACACGCATAGTGCTCTGGCCATGGTTCCAATTCATATTCATATTTCATGATCTCAAAAAGTCTTCTACCTTCATCAATCAATCCTGAATGACTGCAAGCATATAGAACTGACAAAAACGTTACATGATCTGGAGTGAGGTCTTTCTTCATCGTATTGAATAAATAAATAGCTGCTTTGCCATGGCCATGCATTCCATATGCATTTATCATACTTGTCCACAGGACTAAACCTTTATTTTGAATAGACTTAAATACCTTGTATGCATTCTCTACCATTCCACAGCGAGAATACATATCCACAAGAGAGCTGGCAATGGATCCTTCAAGAATGAAACCTTGCCTGATAATAAAGCAGTGGATTTCTTTCCCATTCTTCAAGGCAGACAAGCTGGAAGCAGCAGAGAGTGTGCTTATTAATGCTACAGAATCAGGCTGAATATTAGTTTTGTTCAGGAAGTGGAACAGTTCCAGAGCTTCATTAGAGAGCTCATTATGGACATATGCAGAAATCATGCTTGTCCAAGACACAACATCTTTAAACTCGATCAACTCAAATGCTTGCACAGCATAATCTATGTTTCCACACTCTCCATATACATCAATGATCATATTTTGTAGCACAACATCAGACAAGCCTCTTCTCATAATGTAACCATGAATTTCTTTCACTTGGGACACGCATGTCAGTTCACTACAAGCAAGGAGTACACTACCTATCATCATGGGATCAGCATCTATACCAACTAGTTGCGCTTCTCGGAACAATTCAAAGGCCTTTAAACCATTATTGTTTTGGGCATAGCCAGCAATAACAGTAGTCCAAGAAATCAAATCTTTGTTGGGCATCCTATCAAAAGCATGGCCCATATAGTTCGCACAACAACACTTTGCATACATATCTATAAGAGTATTTCCAACCTGCAAATCTAAATCAAACCCATTTTTTATTGCATGAGCATGCAATTCCATTCCATTCAATAAGTAACCCAACCGCCCACAGGCTAGAAGGATGCTTATCATCGTAACATTGTCAGGTTTTTTACCAGCATTCTGAAAATCATGGAAGAAATGCAAAGCTTCACTGTACATACCATTTTGGATAAACCCTGTAAGCATAGAATTCCACGCTACTTTATCCTTGTTACACAATTCGTTAAAAGTTCTCACGGCCTCACTCATCTTACAACACCTGACATACATGGCAACCAAAGCACCAGCAACATAAACATCGGAAAGCTGATTTGATTTCAAAACAGCAGCACTTATCTCCTTACCAAATTTCCTAAAGGAATAATCCTCACAAGCCTGAAGACAAGCAACAAAAGTATAAGTATTTGTGTCAAGACCAGCCTTTTGCATTTCCCTAAAAAGTTCCAATGCTTCCATAGATTTTCCATTTGCAGAATATGCTGAAATTATAGAATTCCATGACACAACATCATTTTTCTGAGCCATTCTCTCAAATAATCTCCTTGCAGCCCAAAGGTCATCACATTTCGCATACATAGCAACTAAAGAATTGGCAACACAAACAGTAGAATCATAGCCAAGCTTGACAGCCAGGCCATGAATTTCAGCACCTAAAAAGAGATTTTTAAGCAAACCACAAGCTTTAAGCAGAGAAGGAAAACTATAAGCATCAAGAGAAACTCCCAAAACCCGCATTTCTTTATAAGTTTCAAGAACTCCCAAAGGTTCCCCATTAGAAACATAAGCTCCAATCATAGCATTCCAAGTAAAAATACTTCGTTTACCCATTTTATCAAACACTTTCTCAGCACTCTCAACTGAGCCGCATTTCCCATACATAAACACAAGCTTAGTTCCTAAAAACACGGATTCAGAAACAGAGAAAGATTTTATCATGTGGGCATGAATCTGTAGCCCTTGAGAAAGAGCTTTCTTGCCAGCGCAAAGTTCAAGAACCGGGGCATAAGTCTCATCTGGGTAATGATCATTGAAGGAAACCGTGAGTGATTGAAAAGCTTCCATGAGATTTCCTCGCAGGCAAACGTCCTTTAAAGTATTGGTTTTGTTGGGTTTATGAGGAAAAGTTGGGACTTGGAGAGGTGGGTTTATTTGGGTTTGGATTAACATAGTGGGGTGACCCAAAACTGAGGAGGAGTTATAAGTGTAGAAATGAGCGAAAGGAGTTGGCACTAGAGAGGACGTGCATGTGAAGATGAGGAGCGGCGTAGGATAAGACTGTAGGCGCATGATCAAAGTTTGTGGGTTTTTTGCGCCTTAGTTTTATTCTTGGTATATTAAGACCATGTCCTTTTCAGACACGATAAATTAGAATTCTAATTCTTTTTTTTTTTTTTTACAAACAAAAGAAGATAGATTGGAAATCACAAGGATCAGATTTCCATCTTTGAATTTCGTCTATTAAATACGTGCAATTTGCAAAACAGAAGCTGATACGCAAGTATACTGTTCATTCACTGGGGTTTTTTTTGAGTGATTCTACACACGCTTCTATTTTTTTTTAAGTTCCTTTTTAAAAATTTTTTAAATAAAATTATTTTTTCATCCTTCTCATTTCAATTTTAGAACTTTTAGATATATATTTCAATAAATTATATAATTTACTAAAAATGCAATATAATAAGATATAATTTATCAAAATTTCATTATAAATTAGATATATATTTCCAATAAGTTATATAATTTAACTAAAATGCATATACAATAAGTAATATAATTTATCAAATTTTCGTATCTAATAAATTTTAAAAAATTACATTTAAATTTAAGAAAAAAATTAACTAAGAAAAATATCGTATAAAAAATTTTAAATTTTTAAATATGTAAATCTGAAAACTTTTAAAAATTTTTAAATTTGTAAATTTAAAAAATTTTAAGAGATTTCAAATTTATAAATCAAAAACCTTTTAAAAGCTTTCGAATTTGTAAATTCAAAAACTTAGAAGTAAAAGGGATGTAAAGACAAAAAGAAAGAAGAAGTAATTGAATAATTTCAATTAAAATGATTTTGAAAAAGGAAAAGGTATGAAGAGAAAAAATTGTGAATAGAAGCTCTCATCTCTTTGCATTTTCTAATGGCATTTGCCACTAGAAAAGGAATGCATTCCGGGATAGAGAAGGTCTGAAGATTTTGAGTAAGCCAACGGCTGAAGGTTTCCTCGGCTGATGCCAGCATCTAGGCACATTGCAGATGTGAGGAATGGAGATTAAGGGGAAATACTAATCAACTTATCAAAAGAATTGAAAGTGGCTCAACAATAAAAATGGGCAGTAACCGCCCAATAACACTTGGCAAAAATAATTTTAGCCGAAAGTAATACACTCATCCCGTAAACCATCCCTTCGTCCAAACAAACCGGATCAATTCTACCAAAAAAATCCAATCCCCATGCACTTTTGCTATACAAATTTGCTTACATACTGTTAACAATTCCATCTATTTACATACAAAAACCAGTGGAGTGATATTTTCAAAATCAATATCCTCCACTGGTCAAAAATACAACAAAAGCGTCGCTTGCCATTCCACCTTCACAATGGAGTGCTCAAGCCACCAGGCAAATGCATTTTTATAGCCTTAATGTTTATAATTTTCAACATTTATATGCAAGGTTAGAAGAAATTTCCCTTCCTCATCCCTATAAATTATCCCAGCTTGTCATGCTAACAATACCTGGCCAGCCCCGATGTATTGCCTTTCCCTTTTCATGTTCTCATGAACAAAGAATCAATGTTTCCCTCACAACAAATGCTTGTCATTAACATAAATCCAGGAGCTGATACTATAGCTGAAAATCACACAATAGTTATTTTATCATTATCACCCCTGATTGAAAGAAGATTTCAAGCTCTCATCTGGTAACGTCCAAGACAGCAGGTGGCCACCAGAATCACCACTCAGCAACTGCTTCAAGTCACTAGTTAAGTGAAGGGCGGTAACTGGGTGCTTATGAAACTTTAGTACCTTGTGGAGGACCAATCTGTATTCTGGTGATTTATCCAAATCCAATCCTCCTGTTCCACTGTTATTTGACTTGCTTATGGTGATCTCTTCGTCAGAACAGTGAACCATATGCCAGACCTTAACAGCCCCACTCTGATGACCGGTTACATACCAGTTTGTTTCCTGCCAATCAGAGAAGGTACAGCTCGTCACAGAGAGTATAGAATCAGATGGCAGCTGGGATGTACTAATTACTGCTAGACAGTCCCCATTGATGCTCCAAACAGCAAGCAGAATTCCAGCAGCTGTCACAATTTCCCCAGTTAAATCATTCACATAGACTGCAGAAACTGGTGCTGGGAACTCAGGAAGCTGCCTAACGAATCCTAAGGAGCTGAGGTCCCATATGATAACAGTGCAGTCATCTGATCCACTCACAATCAGCATATATGGCTGACTGACATGAAGACATGTGATTTTTGCTGTGTGAGAGCAAAGCACTTTCTCCAACAGCAACCGTCTTGAGGCACGTGGTCCATCCTTACTGATTCTCCAAACAGAAACTAAACCATCATCAGCGCCAGTGACCAAAATGCGACCATCATGACTAACACCAGCACACTGAATCTGGTTTCCTCCATGAAGATTCTCATGTGTTGAAAGGAGTCGATCTTGGTCATAGCTCATAAATCTCAAGCTGCGATCAGGAAAACTCCATGCAACATACTTGGCATACGTTCTAGGTTTGAGCAAAGTGTTTGCCCTGGCAACAAGAATTTTCTCATGGAAAGTGACAATCTGAGCAATGGAAGAAGAGCTTTTCCGTATTTCATGGGGAACAAGAAGAGTTGAATGCTTCAGAGGATGAGGAGGAAGCTTTCTGTCAGACCGCCTTTTCACATGGGGTTTGAGGAATAGTTGCTTAGGTGTCTGTCCAAAATGATTGATCTGAGCTAGAATGGAGGCTTTCATTGAAGGGTCTGCAACTGAGTCTATGTCTACACTCCCCTCATACGTGTAATGGTAGAAAACATTCACAGCTTCTTCAGCCGCCTGTCAGTTGTAACAACAATATACAGAATTACAAGCAGAAAAATGAGAAGATTTAAGACATATAACCTTGGAATTGACATGGATTTGGGTTTGTGTCAGTACATGAAGTCAAACTAGGAAAATGAAAGAGGGGTAGAAAAGAAGGGGAAAAATGCCAACAGAAAAGGACTCTTTTTTATTTATTTATTTTTTTCAAATTAAAAATAGTTGCCACCAGCAATGGGCAACTCATCCAGAACAACTTCACAGCAATCCAGAAAGGATTAAAGCAAATTATATCAACAGGAATGTCATATGACTGAAACTTAAGAATTTTCAACATCTTTTCCAAGTTTGTGTGTGTGAGTGTTGAAATGAGTAGCAACTTTTAGAAAATTCAGGAATTAAGGTCAAAATATGCTTCACAGGGAATGCCAATACCCACCTTTCCCCTTTGTTTATATCCAAAAATGAGGTCTATCCAGTGGTGCAGATTTTCTGAGACAAAATTGGATTCTAGGGCTTCTCTATGCTTCCGGATGAACTTCCTAGCACTGCCTTTAGCCCAAGGAGGTAGGAGAACATCACCAACCTGGGAAGGGGAATACGAAGAACAGAAGCAACAGAAATAAGAAATTTGTGAGTCTTGAAGAAACTGTATTTTGGCACATTATCAAACAAAAAATTAAAGATCAGACTACACAACTCAAAGTTAAAAACTTTAACCAAGACCAACCTTTTCCCCCGACTGTTTCTCCCCCAAGTCAAGATTGAAACGATTTTCCAAGAACTCAGGCATGTAGAAGAATTCTGGAATCAGTTCTTTCACATCTGATGTGTTACCCTTCCCAGCAGCACTCAACCAAGTCTCTCTTATGCTATTGAAAAGACGATCAGCATGATCAAACTGGCCCCCCTGCAGCTTCTGATTTTCAGCACTAAATGGAGGCAAGCGAAGAAGATAAAAGAGAACAATGCCAGCACTAGAATAATGAGAACCATAATGAAATTTTGGGACCTCTGGGTCATCCCAGCTCTCATATCTGAAAAAATAAAAGAGAACTGGAATGGTAAGCAGTAAATAGGCATACAACTTAATACATACATTTTAAAGACCATGTTAAACAAACATGCCTCATATGATATGATCATTCATAAACAGTGAACAACAGTGAACATTTACAGTATAATTATTCATTCAAGACTAAACGGCATGTGTAACAAAGACAGATATTTATTAAATAGTTTTTTCTTTTAATAAATAAGGATTTTGAATAAATAAGGATTGACCTTTTCTTAAATTCCTCTTCTCCCTCTGGTGTCTGACAGCCCATTGGTTTGTCAAGTTTGCGAAAAGTTTTGGGATCAGACAAGTCCAGATTTTCACTCTCATAATCAGCAAGAACCCATGGAAAGACTGGGTATTGGGTAAGATCGCTGTATCCACGTCCCGCCAAGGTATTAAGATGCATAAGGTACTGGAAATTGCTGATTTCTCCATTTTGCCACCTCTTCGAGAAAGATTTAGCTGTTATTTTAAAAAGACGGCCACCATCATTGCTTTCCTGTTTTGTAGATCCTGAAATGGTTGTGTCCAACCTGATGCAAGGAAAAGAATTACAAAGTAATCGATCTTTTCCAAGATTCAGAAGATAAGAAAAACAAACACTTCAAGAGTTGCAGCATAAGCACAGCAAAGAATAGTATATGAAAAAAAAATCATTGGTCCAAACATAGATGATGAAGGAAAGGGTAAACAGTAAACAATTTCAAAATAAACACGAAAGACAAGTGGATACGTCTTTTTCTTTACTATGATATCACAGCTCATTTTCTGACAGCAGCTAATACCACACCATAAAGCCACCAGAAAAAACAAAACTAAAAAGAGAATAAAAGAGTTCCAGGTTACATACATGCTGTTCCTTGGTAGATTCATCGCAACCAGATTTTTGAATACATCATCTCTCTCTCTTTTGTGAAACACCAGGAGATCATTGCATCCATCCATGCTGAATAACTCAATAGCAACAGGACGTAGCTGGTAATCGCGCTTCAAAATCTCATGAACGCTATCAAGCTTCCACATATGCCAAGGATGAGGTAAATTGCCACTGCTAACCATTTTCTCCTTTCCCCATGCACCACCATTGTAGGCCCAGGCCCTTCCCCCTACCAATGTCTTTGGTGTTGTGGCCCAGGATGAAGTTGATTTTGACTGGAAATCCATACTGCTAGTAACGTCCTTCTTTACACCCAATGCCTGATCAATAACAGAGAGCTCATCTTCACATTCCTTCTCACATAGGCAGCCAGAATTGTCAATGTAGAAGTTCTCTATCACATACAAACAAAGTTCTCCTATCAGAAATATGCCATCGTGTTTATCAAGACCCACTACTCGCTCACAGTTATATCTGAATCGTATCTTTTCAAGAGGTTCCAGATAAGGTCTGATTAAATATTCACCATTATCATGCA